CTAATATTCACAATATATTTGCATACCCATTCTAATATTAACTTACGTTTACAGTCATTTGTTATCAAAGTAAAAGATGAAATACAGTTTAAATTTCAACAAACCCAATATTGTACTACTTTATTATGGTATCCTCATTAAGTGAAAAGGTGAAAGAACAATGCACAATCTTTGATTATAATCAATGCCTGGTCAAGTTATGGCATGACTACCATTTATCATATTGGCAGGGCGATTTAAAATGTTCACCATGCCAAGAACACGGTAAGGTCTTTTAGGCATGTAGGTCATTTGAAATCACTAGAAAAGTAAAAGATGAAATCTAGGTTAAATTTCTCCAAAATCTATATGTCAATATATTATGGTATATTAAGTGAAAAGTGAGATTATAATCAATGCATGGTCAAGTTATGGGATGACTGTGATTTGTCATCTAGGCAATGTGATTTAAAATGTCCACCATGCCGACACGGCAAAGTCTTTTATGCATGTTAGCCATTTGGAATCATTAGAATAGTAAAAAGATGTAATCCAGTTTAAATTTCACTAAAATCAATGCGTCATTAGGTTACGTTATCTTCATGGAGCTAAAAGATAGAGGTTGACACAAGCTTTGATTATTATCAATCAATGCGTCATAAGGTTAGCGATTTAAATGACCACGATGCCGAGAACAAAGAAAATCATTTCGGCATGTTAGTCATTTGCTATCACTAAACAAGTAAGAGATGAAACCCAGCTTAATTTTCAACAAAATCAACATGTCATTATGTTAACCTAGTTAAGTTGAAAGTGAAAAATTGAGACCATAAGCCTTGATTATAGTCAATGCATGCATGGTTAAGTTTACGGCATGACTACTATTTGTCATATAGGCAGTGCGATTTAAAAAGGAATATAATAAGGTGTTTCATGTATGTTTGTCATTTGTTATCAAAGTAAAAGATGAAATTCAATTTAAATTTCAACAAACCCAATGTGTTACTACTTTATGGTATCCTCATTAAGTGAAAAGTGAAATAATTAATGACATCACAAGCTTTATTAGTGGCATGGTTAAGTTATGACATAACTATCGTTTGTCATTTGAGTTGAGCAGTGTGATTTTAAAATGCCCACCGTGTCCATGCCAAGAACACGGAAATGTGAAAGACCATCGGTAGTCATTTGTTATCACTAGAAAAGTAGAAGATGAAATCCAATTCAAATTTTAACAAAATTTATGGATCATTAGGTTTTGGTATCGTCATTAAATAAAAGTGAAAGACCAATGCGACAATCTTTGATTATAATCAATGCGTAGCCAAGTTACGACATGATTAACAATAGTCATATAAAAACAGTGTGATTTAAAGTACATGCTCACCATGCCAAGAACATGGTAAGGCCTTTAGGCATGTTAGTCATTTGGAATCACTATTAAAGTGAAAGATGAAGAGTTTAAATTTCCCAAAATTAATGTTTGATTAGATTATAGTAAATTTAGTGAAAAGTGATATTATAATCAATGTAACATGATTACCATTTATCACCTAGGTAGTGTATTTTAAAATGTCCATCATGCATAAAAATTGAATCTAAAATCTCCTAATATAAGTAAAAATAAATATTAATAGACCATAAATGGTAGCATTAGTTATTTCTCATGTATTAGTAACAAATACGATAGGGTTTGGTGGACAAAAATATATTCTTTGCTTTATGATCATTAAAAATATGAGTTTAGTGAATCCAAAACTCAAAAGTAACCAGCTATAAAACATAAGAATTAAGTCAAGGGGACGAGCTTCATCTAGGGCTGGGCAAACGGGTCTTGGACCCGCGGGTAGGGGCGGGTAATGCGGGTACGGGGCGGGTACAGATATTGTAAATTCAAAAGGGGGGCGGGGCAGGGCGGGTACAGGTAAATAACGGGGCGGGGCGGGTACAGAATCACTTTCTCATTGATTTCACCATTGATTTCACCCTCTCTCTCTCTCTCTCTCTCTCTCTCTCTCTCTCTCTCTCTCTTTCTCTTATTCTTGTCCGAGACTCCCAAGACTCTCATTCTCAGACTCACTTTCTCAACTTTCCATTCTCTCGATCTCTCCTCCCTCGATCTCTCCTCCTTGAATCTCCTTCAACCTTCCAACATGCAAATCTCCTTGAATCTCCTTTATCGCCGCCACCATCATCATCAGACCTCGATCTAGGGTTTACACTGAGGCTTCGTCGTCGATGAGCTAGGGTACCGGGAGATGGGCCTGAGAACTAGGGTTTACACTGAGGCGGTGTCGGCGATGCTTGAATCCGACGGCAATTGATCCATTTCTCTCTCAATTTGTCTGATTCGTTCTGTCAGAGTCCTCTCGAGTCCTCCACTCAATTTGTCAGGACGACGCTCATCCGAGAAGGAGAAGAACCTCAAGCTCTTCCTCAAAGCAAATTGGACGAGCGCACGGCCAAAAACACCATCGCCAACACCGCCAACCTCACCGTCGTCATTCACGAGGTACTCAATCGTTGATTTTCTTCTTCTTTTTCTGCTTAATTTTTGGGGTTTTCCGATTTAAATGCATGCAATTCATATTTCATAATCCCGCGATGTATACTTTTATTTTACTTATTTTGTTGTTCTTGAATAATTCCAGGCCGTGGTTACTAATGGATCCAGTTTTCTGATTTGTCTCCGGCGGCTCTTCAACTGGTAGTCTCGGTGGGATACTGAAAATTAGAGAGAGAAAGAGAGGAAAAAAAAAAACAAAACGAGTACCCGTTGGACCCGTAGGAACCGGCCCGTTTTATACGGGCCGGGTTAGGTCCGGTTCTCATTTTCAAAATAGCAAAACCCACCCCGGCCCGGCCCGTTGTATTTTCAAGCGGGTCCGGTCCGGTCCCTCCAATTTTGGGCCCGGCCCGTGCCCAGCCCTAGCTTCATCCACACAAATTCTTTCTCCGTGTATATTTAGGAAAAATCAAGAGAGACAAATTTCAATTAATCCGAGGTGGCTGTTCGTTATTGGGTTACATCACCCAGATCCACGTGAGACTCCACAAACCCTAAGTCGCATAGAACAAATCCGAAGTGACTGTGATGTACGGAAACAAGAAAGCCTAATAGAAGCGGTGACGAATGGCATCACCTTACCCATCCCAACGGCCAATAACAAGCAGCCAGCTACGAAACTGAAAAGGGTCCCGCACCACGACGATTTATTGGAGATACGTGGCAGGAAATGATTCGGCCGTCAGGAATAGCTGTGTAGGTGTGAATCTAACTGTCGCTTGTAGAGTGGCGTCAACCAGCGGGAAAAGACAGAGTGAGTTGAAACGGACGAGCGCGGTGAAAGATTTTTTAATGTAATTGACACACAAGATGATATATAATGAAATATATGTATTAAAATGTTGATAACTTAAAATATAAAATTTTTCATCCCTTACATAAAAATACGTTTACTACTCGTTTTCCGATCACAATTAAAAATTTCTTGAGCATGCAGATGCAAGAACAGAGAGAGAGAGGGTTACGTCAGAAGTGCATGGACGCGTAGCAGCAAATGGTGATTCCCGCCGCTTCACCCACGAATCCAGACAAAGGCTTGTTAGGTCAATTATGAAACCTTCATATTTTATTTTCTTTTGTTTTTAGAAAATATTTTGGACTTTTTGTAGTTGAGTTAATTACAATCTAGCCAATAGAAATTACAAAAACCTAGTCGGTCCATTCTCTCTCTCTCTCTCTCTCTACAAATTCTGGAGAAAGAAAAAAAAAATCAAAGATCATAACCGTTGCATCCAACATTTATTTCGTAAATTTGGTCGGTTTACACTGTTTTTGCTCGTTTAACGGTGGCATTTTCGCAAATTGAATGCATTTACATGCATCATGCGATCCCGTTCGTAATTAGGGTTTGTTTGCATGCTTTATTTTTGTTCATTTATTGGTATAACCATGGCATAAATATGTAAGAGAAATTAACCCCTTTGAACTGAAAAGAAATGGCCTTGCACAAGGCGTAGATTTTCAAACCCCATCCATTAACCTCCTAATCTAACTTCTAATCTAATAAATTTATCGTTTAAAAAAAAATGAAAAGAAATGGCAATAGTTCTTTAGAGAATGTTAACAATTTTTGCATTAACATTTGTGTTTAGATATTTTCATTTTAACAAATATCACGTGTCACCTTTTTGCACCAAAAAACAAAATTTTTAATGTTGGTTAAAATTAGAAATGGAAAATAAAAAATATAATTCTGACTTAATATGTCTTTATTTTTGAGTAAAAAATAATACATGACATTTGTCCGAGTAAAAAAATTTTTAAAATTAGTGCAAAGATTACTAACATTCTTCTAACTCTTAGTACCAATGGTTAATGTAAGATGGCATGGGTTAATGATGATGAGGGTGAGCAGATGATTAGGTGTGTGATGAGTGTATACCATAATCATAGGGATGAGTAAAAATGTTCTCTAATAATAATGGTAAGAGAAATACTAAAGTGACTCTTCAAAAGTGAAACTCTCTATAAATTCTCCGTCACTTCATGTTGGTGGTGAAGAGTCTATAAAGAATGTCAATGTCAATTTAAGAAACCTCTTTAATTAGCATTTCTCTTTCTCTAATGGTAAAAGGCTGAGGCACCGCACGGTGGCACCATTCAGGTGGGAACGTAAGGCGGGTGTCACAATATCCGGAGTCAAGGCTGAGAAAGTAGAGGCACGAGGTTTTGTTTTCTTGTTTCTTTAATCCTTCGTCTCTTTACTACTCTCTCTCTAAAACTGCCTATTCTTTTCTCTCTCTCTTTAAAACTGCCTATTCTTTTCTCTCTCTCTCTCTCTCTCTCTCTCTCTCTCTCTCTCTCTCTCTCTCTCTCTCTCTTACTTAATGCGTCATATATGTATGTGAATGGATAGTGGGATGAAATTCAGATCAGAACCCAGGGAAAAAACCAATTCAACGTTATCTCCGCAAAACAAAACAAAAAACAAGAACAAAAAACAAAAATGATCAGAAAAGTTGGCGGTGCAAATACATTGAAACTCCCCAGAACATACCAGAACACACATGGGGGTTGTTGAGAGCTTTTCCTGTTCCCCCTCCGTTTAACCATGCGCCCTTTCTCTCTACACACCTGAAGAAGATCGATCACTTCTCACCTCCACTATTCTACTCTCTGTCCACCGCGGCTCCGTCGGGTTCCAGCCGTGCCTGTGAAGAACTAGGGTTTATTGAAGTTGCTTTTCTGTTAATCTGCACAGAATTAGTGTTTGGTGAGTTTTGTGATAATGACGGGATTAAATATGAATAGATTCACGGATTAGAGAGTGGTGACGTCGCTTTCTGCGACTAAAATAGGTTTATATTATTTTAAATAATATTATTTTGTGTGGTTTAGATGTCTTTGTTGTTCTTGATAGACCAGATGCTTTATGTTGCTTCTGTGTACGGGTTTGATACCAAAAGCGGGCCCTTTCACTCTCTTGCTTCCTTAATCCAATACGGTCTTTCTTCCTCCCCACTTGCACTTATCCGTACACAGAAGAAGAAGAAAAATTAATCCACTCTCCCTTTCACCAAAATATCTGATACCAACAGAAAGGAAAAAAATACCCAATATAAACCCCAAAAAGTGTTGATTTTGTTCATTGAGGATCAAAAGTTTCAAGAGAAATGAAGGGCGAGCAAGTTCAAGTTCAAGTTCCGGTTCATCACCAACATCAAGATCTGCATGCAGGAGATCTGGATACTCTTGGAGTGGACCCCAGAAAGATGTGGCTTGACGATGACCAAGAAACCACTCTCGATGTGAATGACCCTTCCATCTTCTACAACGACAAGTTCCCTCCTCTCCCTGACTTCCCATGCATGTCCTCCTCCTCCTCTTCATCCTCCACTCCTGCGCCGGTCAAGACAGTCACGTGCTCCTCATCCTCGCCCTCGGTTTCCTCGTCCTCCTCCGCGGCCTCTTGGGCCGTTCTCAAGTCGGACGCGGAGCCCGAAGATGGGGAGAGAAAGCAGCAGCAGCACAACAGTTACCACCACCAGTACTCGCAGATTGATGATCAGACGGTTGATGCGCATGCATTGTCCTCCACCGTCTCGATGGAGATCTCTCAGCCGTTGGATCTCAGTGGCGGAATAGATTGCATGGATGAGATGGGGACTTTTGGTTACATGGATCTGTTTGAATCCAACGAGTGTTTTGACCCTTCTTCCATTTTCCAAAGTGATAGCCTTTTCATGGAGCAGTTTCAACAAGATCAAGATAATCAGCATTTAGCCATGGCCCACCAATTACAAGACCATCATGAAATTGCTACTACTATTCAGTCTAATCCCCAACAACAAAAACAAGTAGTTGGACAGGATGAGGAGAATACTAATAAGGATCAGAGTAATGATAAAAAGGATCCGGATGACATGGCCATGGTGTTCTTGGAGTGGCTGAGGTCCAACAGAGAGACGGTCTCCGCCGAAGACTTGAGAAGTGTGAAGATCAAGAAGTCGACGATCGAGTGCGCCGCCAGGCGCTTGGGCGGAGGAAAAGAGGCCATGAAGCAGTTGCTTAAACTTGTCCTTGAGTGGGTTCAGACCAACCATCTACAAAAGAGGCGCAGCAATAGCATCACCACCAAAGACTCCAACCTAATAGCCCAACAACAATACCAAGACCCTTATCAAAACCCTAACCCTAACTCTATCCCTAGAGTACTTGAATCAAACCCTTCTTGTAATTTCACTCAGAGACCATGTATGGCGCCTCCACCACATGCAGCCGCCTATGATCCGGCGGCGGGGGGACTACTTGTCCCCATTCCGCCTCCAGCTTCTCCTCCGCCGGCGGCTTATCCTTCCATGATGGGGTATATGACGGCTGACCCTTTTGGGAATGGGCCAAGCTCATACCAACCATCTCCGGAGTATCATCATCACATGATTGACTCCGGTCAGCCATCATGGCAGTCGTCTCCGTTTGGTATGGTGGGAACGGCCCCTTACGGGTCCTTCCCGGATAATAACATTCACCTAGCCCCTCCCCAACACCATCCCCAGGCTTTTGCCGGGTACAGCAGTCAGTACCAGCCTTATCAATATTTCCCGGGGAATGGTGAGCGTCAATTGATGAGGTTAGGGCCTTCAGCTACCAAAGAAGCAAGGAAGAAGCGGATGGCGAGGCAGCGAAGGCTTGTGTCTCACCATAGGCACCACGGCCATCAACAGAATTCTCAGCAACTTAATAATGAAATGCCAGATCATAACTATCTTCAGCAGACAAGGTTTGTTGGGAACACTACTGATCTTAATTGCACTGGTGCTGTCCGCTGCAGCCAAATCCGGGCAACTGGTTTTACTGGCCCACCGCCACAGCAGCCCTGTCCTCTTCTGCCGTGGCCATGATGCCTAGCATTATGCCGGAAGCCGCACCACTTCCTCCAGTGCAGCAAATGGATAGGCCGGCTAGTAATCAAGCACAGAATTACAATCAGGGCCGTAGTGCTGCGCAGGAAAGGCAAGAAAGACAGGAGAGGCGCCAGGTTGGTGCAGTTTTGCTACATTTCTAATTGATTGGGATCATATAAACAACATAATTGATTAAGCAATATTTACATGAAATTGTGTACCTTTTTCCAGGGATGGAAATCTGAGAAGAATCTTAAGTTTCTCCTTCAGAAGGTATTGAAGCAGAGTGATGTGGGTAGTCTTGGAAGGATTGTGTTGCCAAAAGTAAGTTATTAATTTCCTCAATTATAATTGAACTTATTTTTCCATTTATTAATTGAAATTGGTTGAAAATATTAACCTTATTGATTGTATGGGAAACAAATTGCATTGATTGGGAATTGTTTGTGTTGTTTTTGGTGTACAGAAAGAAGCAGAAACTCATCTTCCTGAATTGGATGCAAGAGACGGAATTTCCATTGCAATGGAAGACATTGGGACTTCTCGTGTGTGGAACATGCGCTATAGGTATTCTACAAAAGTTGGTTCTCTTAATGTCCTTTTTGCAATTACAAATATTTGGTTTATTAATTTTAATTTCGTTCGTGATCATTGGTTTTAATACATTCAGAAATTATAAGTAATCTTGTTGTCCCCCTTTCTTCTTTGTATGTGGAGTTTCAGGTACTGGCCCAACAACAAAAGCAGGATGTATCTCCTTGAAAACACAGGTGTGCAGTGATTGCTTATATTTATTAAGCATCAAGCATATTTTCATTGTCTTTTTAAATCAGGTTCCACTTCGGTGCTATGTAGCATCAAATGCTATGAGCATTGGATGAAACTTATTAAAAGCAATAATTCAAACCAATCTGGGTTATCCAATGCTCATAGCATTTACTGCATGAAAGAATTTTCCTTAAATCTCCACTGATTTATGTTGTTGAAGGAGATTTTGTGAGAGCCAATGGACTCCAAGAAGGAGACTTCATAGTCATCTATTCCGATGTGAAATGCAACAAATATGTAAGCATCAAAGAACTCACATCCTCTTCTTAATTAGTTATCAATTACACTAATATTGATCTAATTAGACACTTAGTAATTCTTCAAATGTTGTTTTTAGTTAGTATATCCCGAGTTTAACCAAGTTGGCTAGTGTAATACCCTTCACCCTAAATAAATAAATAAATAAAAGAAAACACTTCGTTGATAATTACGTTTTTATTAATGTATACGTGTAGATGATACGAGGAGTGAAGGTACGGCAAGAGGGGCCAAAATCAGAGGGCAACAAAAGGCCGGGAAAGACACAAAGGAACCAGCATGCAAGCACTCCAGCTGTCAACAATGGATCGTCACCTTCTTCAGCCACAACCGCACACAAGAAAATAACAGTAAAGTAAGAGACAGAGGAAATGAAAGAGAAGACCAGCTGCAACATAGCCACCTCTTCCGTTTTTTCTTCTCTCTTCAATGCATGAATCGAATCGAAATGGATGGTGAAGATAGCCTAGGGTTTGTTGAACCTCAGTTGATCGACAACTCTCAGCAAATCATAGCTAGCTAAGCCTCCTTATCTTTAATTGGTCAATTTTTCTCACCGGTCAAAGTTAAAGCTACTACTTCATGGATGAGTTCATAATGCGTTTGAAAATAGTGAAGCTTTTTACGCAGGTTGATTTCATTCAGTTGGAATCGCAGCACTTTTGGTTTTTGGGTAAAATGGTATGATCAGTTAAAACGTATAGGCATTTTCCAAATACTGGTTTGGGTAATTATGGTAGTTAATATTATGTGATATTATGTGTTTCGGGTGACGCACCCAATTAAGTTTAGTGTATGTTGTGCTTGTTAATTATTGATATGTATTTTGTAGAAGTAAAGCTCGTAAATGATGTATATATATGAGAAGGATATAATGCTCGCTCATTTGTTATGTACTATAAAAAACATGTTTGCATTGCTGTTTGCTGCATGTTGTTATAAGTGGTCTGCTATTTGATCATATTGAATATATAAACTGATTTGCAGTATAAATGTACAATCTTCATTGGTGGTTATCAGTGATCTGTCATTTTATGTATTTTAATGAATATCATCTCGTTATACTAGATCCATGGATCCTGTTATGTAAAAGGTAATTGTTCTTTCAGAACAAGAAATATATGGTCATCATTTTGATTATTCATAGGAAATTGGATTTTATCATACAAGAAAACTTTTAGAAGAGGCGACATAAATTTCATGGAGAGTTTCTTGAGTTCTTTCATGGAGTGCCTACTTTTTTCCTCACTTAAGTTATGATTAAGGTATATGTTAAAAAAATGGATAATTCCTTGGTCACTAATTGATATAGACTCAAACCTTATGCATTTTAAGTTTTTTATTGAAGTCCTTCCCTTACCACATAAATGACATAATAATAAAAGAGATGTAATAATATCAATATAAGTCAACCCTTTTTTTTTTTTTTTTTGCTTTCATTTACACTACTAATTCAATTATTCAAAATTGCTTATGGGTTTTAAAAAAAAAAACAAAAATGCTTATGGGTGCATTCTAGGTTATAAAAAAATGGGCTTTTATTATATTTTTATAAAATATGAGTACATTTATATAGGCTACATTTTACACAAAATAGGTACATTTTATATATATATAAAATAATGGTACATTCTAGATTAAAAAAATAAATAGATTTTACATTAAAAAATGGATACATTTTACATAAAAATGGTACTTAAAAAAAAAGATACATTTTGCATATAGTAAAGTCGTACATTTGTAACGAAAAATGGGTACATTGTAAATAAATTATGAGTACCAAATAAAAAGTTAAAAAATTTATGAGTACAAATAAAAATTTTAAAAATAAGGGAAAAAAAGAAATTAATATATGGGTACAAATTAAAATTTAAAAGAAAATTGGTACAATTTAAAAAAAGGGTTGCAAATTAAAAATGGGTACAAACTACAAATAAAAATATATGATAAAAATTTTAGCAATAAATATAAATATACAAAATGTAACATTTCTAACACTAAATAAATGACATTTATTAAAACTCAAGGACCTTGATCAAAATTTGAAAAAGAATAAGGTGTTAATCAATGAAGTATAAAAAATAGGGATGAGAACCTAATTTCTCCACTTCTTATTCAATTGGCGAGTGTTGGTTATAATCTCATATATTTGGCGAGTGGTGTTGGTAACAGCCAAAATAAGAAATAATACTTGTGTTCCTCTTATGAGAGTGCGCACATCCTACCTTTATGGTCTATCATGTTTGTATTTAAAACAATAAAACAATAAAATAATTAAAATTGTTTTAGTTTGAAAATGGGAAACTGATTGCATTTCTCATGCTTGATAAGGCCATGTTTGCTATGGAAAATTATTGCTACATTTTCCTTATTCGGTGAGAGGCCATGCTTGGGATTTGGAAATGATTTTTAGGGCCATGCTAAAAAGGAAAAAACGAAGCCCTTCATGGTGGAGAATAATTTCTTTTTGGGTTTTTATCACAAATGATTCTTGATATTGATCATCACTATCAAGATGGTCCCTTGAATAAAAAATCAATCAATAAACGTAGTCCTTGAAAATAGGTGTCTCAAATCTATGTGGTCTTTCCGTCACAATACTGTTAAGTGTTGATGTGGCACATAAATGAGCTCCACAAGATTTACGGGTTTTTATTACAAATGGTCTCTAAAATTGACCCACACCATCAATATGGTCCCTGAAATTGAAAATCAATCAATGTAATCCTTGAAAATAGGTGTCGCAAATCAATATGATTCTTCCACCACAATTTTGTAAAAAAAAAAATTGTTATGTGCTGATGTGGTAATAATTAATTAAAAAAAAGTTGTCTAAATACCTTTTTGCACAATGGAATTTTTTTTTTCTTATAGTAGGGCCTTCTCCGAAGAGAGATCCCTCAAAATCACAAGGCTTAACCAAGGCCTAAAAAGGGGTGTGGAAATAGTTTTCAACCAACAATAGACACACCTCGGTTATAACCTCATTATCTCAAGGCAGACCTCGTCGTTCTTTGCATCACCATACCACCAGGGAAGCGATGAACAAGCTCTCCAAGATTAAGGTTGTGAGGATATTGATTGCCTAAATGTTAATGATGATGTCCCAGTAATCATTGCCAATGGGCTAAGCCATCACCAAATGTAATCTTGATTCAAGTTGAATGGTGAAGGCTATTGAAGTGCGTAAAGATGGGTGTATTGAGATTCTTTTTAGAGAATAGAAAGCGAATGAGGTAAATAAATGTGGGATGGGATCTAGGTGATTGCAGGACTGGGTTTTTGGGTTGACAATTTTTTTATTAACTATTAAATTATTAAGCCTATTTGTAATTTTTTTTTAAATTTAATTATACTTGTGTGACCCATTATGTGTCACATCAGTATATAACAGAATTTTTTTACAGAATTGTGACGGAAGGACTACATTGATTTGAGACACTGACTTGCGGGACTACATTGATCAATTTTCAATTTCAGGGACCATTTTGATGTCGCGGGTCAATTTCAGTGACCATTTTGATGTCGTGAGTCAATTTCAAGGACAATTTGTGAGAAAAAATGACTTATGGACCCATTTATGTGCCACATCAGCAGTTAACATAATTTTTAACAGAATTGTGATGGAATGACCACATTGATTTGCGACACCTATTTTTAAGGACTACATTGATTGATTTTCAATTTCAAGGATTATCTTGATGGTGAGGGTCAATTTAAGGGACCATTTGTGATAAAAACCCTTTTTTCTTTGGGTTAAATGTTTGCTTTATTTATAACACAACAGATTACATAAGAAAAGGTCCAAATACAATAAACACACAAACAAAAAGATGGACCTCTATAGTAACCCAACAATCTAAAACATAGTTTTGAGCCCTAAACAAAAAAAACACCAAAGCAAACCCTAGTAGCATCCTACCTCCGCCACCAACCTGCTTGTCGAACGAACATCCCCTGCACCCACTTGAATTCAAAATAACTAGAGCTCCAAAGCTGGATGAAGAATGAGCCACAACAGGACCCCAAAACAGAGGCCCAAACTCCTCCACAGAGCACCACAGCAGTAGCTGCCACAAATCAAAGGAAGGCCAGCAGAAAAAAATCCACTAACAACAGTGCCAACAAAGGGAAACCAAAGTAGGAGGTGGTGTGAACGCCCAAGCTAAAGCTCTACTCACCTTCCAGGAGAAGCGCAATAAATTGCGTTGAAAAAAAGTGGGAGTTGATCTAGATTATGGAGTCAAAGAAGGATGAAGCTGATTCGGATTGGGGAACGTTGGGGGAAAGAGGGGGAAAAGATGGAAAGAAGTAAGGGGAAAAGGTGGAAAGAAGGGGAAAATGTGGATAAGGCGGAAACGGTTGAAGGAAGACGAAAGGAAACAAAGGGGAAAAGTGGAAGGAAGGAAGAAACAGGAAAAGTTGGAAAAGGGACTGAAGTTAAAGAAAGCAGATGCACAGGGGGTTAAGTGGCAAACAAGCCACTGGGCAGGGGAAAACGGAAGATGAAGGAGAAGGAGAAGGAAAGAAAGGGAAAAAAAGAGAAGGGAGAAGAGAAGGACTGCCACCAACCCTAGCCATAGCTAGCGTAAGCGGCTGCGATAAGAACAACACGGAGGACACTCACACACCAGTGAGAAAAGCTCTTAGAATGAGAGAACTCACAAGGAGAGATTTTTTCGATCTTTTCAAACCTGGATGTTTTCTTGTTTTAGGGTTTGGTTGCAGAGAGAAAGAGAGGGTGAGAATCATTTCTTTCACCATGAGAAACCAACATAAATAAATTAATTTTTTTAATGATCAAACTACTCTAATTGATATTGAAATGTCCATCATATCCCAAAAAGTGATATTATTTCCAAAGCGCTAGGAAAAGATCAAAGAAATTGTTCAAATGAATTCATCAAACATAGTCTATAAGGATGGAGTTTCTTCTACACACCAAAAGTTCCTATATAAGTTTAGGGATGGAGTTTCTTCTAGACACCGAAAGTTTTTCAATCTGAACTTGATTCCATATTGACTCGCTATAAGAGCATCTAAAAGAGCGGATGTATATGGGGCTGCAAAAGTGGTGAATATACCAATATAGCTCATTTTAGAGCATGAGAAATCTTTGGGACTATAAAAAAGAATCTCTCACTATGGAGGTTTTATACCTTCCCAGTTATAATTATTCCGTGTCAGCTCGTTAACGATCCCTCAATCGACGACATCATCTCTTGGGACGACGACGGATCTAACTTCGTCGTCTATAACCCCCACCGTCTTTTAACTAATGTCAAAAAGAATAATTTTCTTTGTTAAATTGTTTGTTAGGTGGCCATTAATGGATGTCAAGTTCTTGCAGGAGGAAATAAGGGAAGGGAAAAAAGTGAAGAAAGGAAGAGAGAGCGACGGGTACATGATAAAAATAAAAATAAAAAAGACAAAAAGAGAAGGGTATATAAGTCATTCTCTAACTATTTGTACGGACCTAAAGTTCATATGGCATTTTTCATTGACATGTGTCTAAGTAATACAATTCCTAACTGATTAAGTTCAAAATAAAAATTGGTCATTTATATAACCTAATTAGTAAAGTTTTTATTGATTTTTGGCTAAATAACCTAAATATTGGTTATTGATATGTGACTAATTAGTAAAATTTGTATTAATTTTTTGCTAAATAACCTAATGAAAATGTATTATGTGTTAATAAACACATAGACAGTCAGAATTCGGAATGAGTAGAAATTTCTAACACTCATTTTAGGCAATCAAACATGCAATTAGTTGAGTATATAATAACCTTTGGTGAAAGGTTGCTTTCACTTTTCACATTCTAAATGGTTCCATGCCACTTGAAATTATGCAACCAACTTTAAGGATATCA